GGACAAGATGCAGCACCTCTGGGGGTAAAGCATGTGGCAGAAGATCGGTTCCCAACCTGCTAACCACAGACGATACACGATAATATATTGTATACTAGTTTGAAGTCCTTCAAAGATGGTATATGGAGGGTCAGTTTGTCATCGTTTTGGCACGAGGTGTTGAACCGCATAGCTTATGTTGGAAATACATTGATCATAATACAAGCATTCAAGCAAAAGAATATGCAGTTTGAGTAACCCGATGATGATGTTTAATAAACACTTTTTAGCAATTTCCTGAGTTAAGCAAATGACAATCAATTTCGTTGCTGCCCCCAAATCCGTTTTTTTTTCAACGCGCCTTCATTTGTTTTCAGGTTTGAAGAAATAATGGATAAATCCGTATCACGCTATGTACCGGTATGCTTTCTACTTGCAGTAACTCTTTAAAAAACCTGTCGTTCTTCTCTGTGAAAAGTATGGGAGAGTGCCATGATGACAGGTGTTGAATGTTTGACTGGAAGACATTTATACTACATGTATTTACAATCAGAGGTTTGAATACACTTGGATTGTGGGTTTCGGTAACCACTTCTCTTCTGCAGGAGACCAATCTTAACACCAAGCGTACTTTAATTCCCTGGTCCTTTTAAGAGCCATTTCGCGTAAATACCTGACATATGAGTCCACGGTAAAAAAATCTTGTTTTTTCATACTTTGTGGGATCAAAGGTTCTTGGAACGCAATTTAACAAAATAGATTTTCATATTCGTACGTAGTTCCTTGCCATGGAAACAGCTCATTTTGTGTTTTTGGCATTTTAGGCCTACTTAGGGTCTGAAAAGTGGTTTTGGGCTTACATTGAAAAGTCTACCTAGCCAAAATGCAAGAAAATTCACAAGTCCATTTATATCACTTTAAAGTATCGTCTTTGCCTCTGCTTCAGACAAACAATAATATAACCTCTTGGCAGTCTAACTGCTTCAGATTGATTAGATTCTGGAAGAAGTGTAAGCATTTACAACTTCTTTCAAATTTGCTTCATAAACTGATTTATTCTCTTTTCTTACAAATCCCGTGTATTAATTTAATGATCAAGGCAAACTCCGATCTGATGAGTTCACAAGTATTGAATGTAATGGACGTTGTGTTCCCCTGTGTGCCTTTCTTGATGTGCATTTCTTTTGCAAAAATTCAAGGGCCACATTTTCAGCCCAAATGGAAATCCCAGTTTGTTTTTAAAGCTCCGTCATAGATAATTTGAAGAGACCAATGTCAGATAATTTGACAAGGCTCATCAAAGCCGTGGCAAATGTGAGACATAGCACAGTCTGAGAAAGTGGGGAGCAACAAAGTAACAGGATACTTTGTAAGTTAGATTTGAAGCTTTGCATGGTGGAAGTTACTTGAGATATCGCCTTCCGGGTACAGCATGGAGACGGATGTGCTCTCCCGAGACATGAACTTCGCCACTCCGCCACGCGTCATCCCTCAGCTGACATCATGTAAGCCACGGAACCAGCACTACGCAAGCCCGACAAGACAGAAGCCTATCGATGACATCCACGTTGAGATCCACCACGCCCTCCGCCCTTTCTAAACCGATCAAGCCCGACCACACCAAGCCCGAAGTTGAAGCCCTCATGATCTCCGCAACGACAATTAAGTCCACACACACCATAACGGCCGACAAGGGCTACGCCACCGTAATCATGGACCGTACAGCTTACACCAAGAAGGTACAAGACATCCGCACATCCGGCGCCTACCGCCCTTTGCCCAAGGACCCCACCAGAACCATATCGAGAAACGCAACGCCAACAAGCTCCTCACCATCCATCACTCCGACTCCATCCCAGCGGCTCTGTACCACCGCCTCCGCCCATCGGCATCTTCCTGTCCAAGATTCTTCGGTCAACCCAAGATCCACAAGCCGGATATTCTCCTGCGTCCCATCGTGTCATCAAGGGGCTCACTAATTTACAAGACCGCCCGCTTCCTGATCGGCATCCTCCAGCCCTGGGTGGGCAACATACCCCACCGTAATCTCCAACTCCCCCCAATTCGTGGAGCTCACAAGAAGTCTGTCACTCCAACCCACCGAAGAAACATGCCAGCTTGCCAAGGATTCCTTTCATCCAGCTACTTCAGGTTCCGAGACTAGTTCTACGAGCAGACAGCTGGGACCTCTATGGGATCTCCTAGATCCGCGGTCCTGGCTGACATCTTCGTGGAAGAATTCGAAACGTCACCTCTCCTCACCGCGTACCCCAAACCCACCATATGGCTGCGCTATGTTGAAGACACATTTGTCACGTGGCCCAATAGTCAAGATCACCTCCAAGAATTCCTCGAGTACCTCAACAAGCAACACCCCACTATCAAGTTCACCATGGAACAAGAGCAAGACGGACAACTCTCCTTCCCGGATGTCCATCTGTCCAGGAACCCAGACGGCACCCTCAACCACCGTGTCCACCGCAAGCCCACCCACACCAATCGGTACTTGCACCAAATATCATTTCACCACCCAGCCATCAAGACCTCAATCAACCGCACCCTCGTCCGCAGAGCCTCCGAGACCTAAGACGACAGCAACCTGCCCCAAGAACTATGAACGGCTACCATCATAAGCGCATCAGCCTTTCCAAGCCCCCTACAAGGGTGTTCGGGTCTCCTATACCCGAAGTCCCCTCCTCTCACATGGCGTTAGGGTAGCCTATACCTGAAGCCTCCCAACCCCCCCATCGCCATAGTATGTCTACCGTACCTGGGCCACACTTCCCACCAACTCCGCAGTATCCTACAGTAAGCCAATATTCGCGTCTATCACTCGGCACGAAACAAGCTGCAGTCTGTACTTCACACCCACAAGGACACCCACCCACTCAGCAGTCGCCCCGCTGTATATCGCACTCCATGTGAATGTGGCCAAGTAAACATTGGAGAAACCGGCAGGAACCATTTCATCAGGCTCCAAGAGCACCGTGCGCACGGACGACGAGGAGAATACAAGTCGGCCATCGTCAAACGTGCACACTCCTCGCACCACCGCATCAAATGGGACAACGAAGAACTCATCTGTCTTTATAGTCTGTCTTCTTAATCAATATATAATCTATTATAACTTATAATACAGTGCTTTAAACTGGGCTATTTACGTACCTCTTTGTAAAATTAACCACAATTCAGCCTTTTTGGCTGCGAGAGTCTGTTTTTAATAAACCATTACTAATTATAATAATTATAACAATAAAAATGTAATCTCAAACATGGAACAAGCCCTGCCTGGAGGTTGGGCTTTACAGAAATGTCGAAAGTTAAAACATTTCAACGAAAAACAAAAGGGTTTCCTAGATGAAATGCTCCACCTTTGCGAAGTGGTCAAAATGTGACCCAACTGATGTTCCAAAACAATGCCCATCAAAATGCACACAAGGAAACAGACAACACAATAGATTTCAAGCTATTTTAGCCAAATTGCATCAAAAGTCGGACCAGTGGCAGCGCCAGTTGAGAATGGAGACTGAGATCACAAACTGCTAGTTTTTGTGCTTATACCCAGCAAGAAATGAGACCGAGGGGTACCCCCCCAACGTGTTCAATCCCTATACACATTCCAGACTATTGTTACT